TCTTCAGACTTTCAAGGGTAGAGGAATCTACATTTATAATGGCCAGCATCAGTTGCGAGTCATCTCTTTCTCTGCCTTTCCTCCCTCCCTTTCTAAGGCACAAAGTAGTGGCTACCGGGGGCATTGTTGATTTATACACAAATTGAAACATAGCTACCAATCAGATCATGCATTTCTCAAAATATAGTGCTCTTGTTTTGATTAAATAATGTGCACATGAATGCACATCTTATAGGGGGAAACCATACATCTTCAGGAGAAATACATTGTAAAGCACACAACATTGCATATTTTAAAGAGGGTAATGGGTTTGTTTGTTTTGTTCTTGTACTTGCCTTTTATTATGAACTTTGTTTTTTTTATTTTGTATTTTATGCTGTAAACTGTCCTGAGATTGTTGGATGAAGGATGTTCTACAAAGTTAATAAATTTGGGGGAGAGGGATGTGTACAAAATGTGTACAGTTTGCATGCAATTTAAGGGTTGTATTCAACTCCATGTGAGCTGTGTTCTGCATGTGCAATGGGTCTTCCCCTTCTCAAAATATGCGCCAGAGAGACTCCCAACACTTTTGAGAGGGTTGCACCAGAGCAGCAGAGGAAGTTCTCTTGTGCAAGCAGAAGTCTTGCTGTTGTGCAAGCAGAAGTTGTTGCACATGTGGAATGGCAATGTTAGATACAACCCCAAATGTACACAGTGTGTGTGCTCGTTACAACACAAAGAAATGAGATGGAAGAGAGCAATGACATTGTGCATGCAGAAGTGAAATGGAATGGAAATAGGTTGATCTGTCCATCCATCCCTAAATAATTATGTTTGGAAAAGGAAATGAAAGGAAGAGGGACATAGGAGCCTCAGCTGCTGGCCATTATAAATGTATGTTCCCCAACCTGCAAGTTGAATAACATTACCAGCCCTCTGAAACATTGTGGGCATCTTCACTTCTATTTCATCCCTTCCAGCCCCATGAATGTTCCCTTCAAAAGCTTGAACTACACTTCGCTCAATCAAACAGATACTTAAAGTCCATGTTAAAACAGTGAAAGCTACTCCTGGCCCCTCTGCATGTCTCCACATGGGAAGCCACCTCAACCACTACTTTGGGGGCAGTACAGAGCAGGAGGCAGTCAGGTACCCTTGCCCCAGGACTTGGAAGGTTAAGCCAGCCAGGGGACCCCGCTAGGGGCCTCCCAGACTTAAGCTGTCATGCCCTGAATGCCACATGCCTCCTACCCTGGGCCTCAGACAAGCTCTGCATGGGTCTTCCTGCTTTGCATTCAAAGACTATGAAAATAAAAATGAAATGAGGAAAATCAGAGTTGACTTTTTGAACTCCGTTTCAGCTTTTCCTGACTATTCTGGAAGAGGCTATTTCTTGTTCTCTGTTGCCATCTAAAGGCAAACATGAACATAGCGAGACAAAGTGAATCTGAGTCAAGGCAGGTGAAAGTAAATGCGTTGCCCAGAGCCATAGAGATACTTAATGTTTCATTTAATCCCTTGATAAATTTCTTTCAGAGAGACTAAACATTTTTTTTATGTTGGCATTAAAAAGAAGAAGAAAAGCAGAGTTCTGCTGATGCTAAATAATCATTCGATCAATCTAGGTTCATTGTTCATGCGAAAGGTCATGACAAACCTGCAGCAACAGTACAGTAAAACTACAGTGGTACCTTGATTCTTGAACTTAATCCGTTCCAGAAGTCCTTTCGATTCCTGAAACGGTTTGAAAACCAAGGCATGGCTTCTGATTGGCTGCAGGAACTTCCTGCACTCAAGCAAAAGCCACATCAGACGTTCGGCTTCTGAAAAACATTTGCAAACCAGAACACTAACTTCCACATTTGTGGCATTCGGGAGCCTATTTGTTTGACAACTAAGCCATTCCAGAACCACTGTACCACTGTATACAGATCATACATCCACAATCTGAGCTAATATCCATGATGTAAGGGAAAGGTTGCCAGAGACACCAACTCAAATCCGGCTTGATTTTAAATTAAACTTCAGAATCACCACAACAATTTATAGCAATTTTATAGTATGTTTTCCTGATTTTTCCACCCAGCCAGTGCATAGAGGGCTACACTTCGTGTTATGAAGCTACTCTTGTCACTCAAAAGAAACTGGATAATTTCTGCTGGGATGTACCTGCTTGCTTTTGTGAACAAAGGTTTCAGAAAGTGATCTCTTGGGTCACAGTGTAAGGGGCAGGCTAATGTGAAGTCTTCCACAACTACAAGTCTGTCTGCGTATGGGACCTGGTTGAAGCAGCCATCCAGGACTGCAGTGGGCATCACTCGGAAACACAGCTCAATAGAGAGATTTCTTTAAGGAAACTGGTGAGAGTTTGGTCAGATAACTAGCTCTAAAATGCTCTGTTCTCAAGAGTGGATAAAATGTGACATTTTTAATTAGTTGCAGGTCACTTCTGGACTCTAGCTAGAAGAGCCAGTCCCTTAGTTGACATTTATTCAGGGTCAGTGCAGAGCTCATTTCTAGAAAATAATACAGTGGTGCCCCGCAAGACGAATGCCTCGCAAGACGGAAAACTCGCTAGACGAAAGGGTTTTCCGTTTTTGAGCTGCTTCGCAAGACGAATTTCCCTATGGGCTTGCTTCACAAGACGAAAACGTCTTGCAAGTTTGTTTCCTTTTCTTAACACCATTAAGACAGTTGCGACTTGACATCGAGGAGCAACTCATAGAACGCAGTGTACATAGTAGCCTTTTTTGAGGTTTTTAAAGACTTTGGTGATTTTTGAAGCTTTTCCAAAACTTCTTTGCAGCCAAGTTAAGCTTTTAAAACTTTTTTGGGGGTTTTTGGATTTTGGGTTGGGGTGTTTGGAATTCAAGGACTTGGTGTTGGGGAGGGGTTTGCAAGAATCTGGAAGCTTGTGTGTGTTTTCCTGCATTTTTATGATTTTCTGTGACCATTGGGCCACTCTGCTGTTTTTTTAAAAAAGTCTGGATTTGAATTTCTGTGTGCTGGGTGGCTGGGGAACAGTTGGGGAGGGGTTTGCAAGAATCTGGGAGCTTGTGTGGTTTTTTCCTGCATTTTTATGATTTTCTGTGACCATTGGGCCACTCTGCTGTTTTTTTAAAAAAATTCTGGATTTGAATTTCTGTGTGCTGGGTGGCTGGGGGAACAGTTGGGGAGGGGTCTGCAAGAATCTGGAAGCTTGTGTGTGTTTTTTCTGCATTTTTATGATTTTCTGTGACCATTGGGCCACTCTGCTGTTTTTTTTAAAAATTTCTGGATTTGAATTTCTGTGTGCTGGGTGGCTGGGGGAACAGTTGGGGAGGGGTCTGCAAGAATCTGGAAGCTTGTGTGGTTTTTTTCTGCATTTTTATGATTTTCTGTGACCACTGGGCCACTCTGCTGTTTTTTAAAAAAAATTCTGGATTTGAATTTCTGTGTGCTGGGTGACTGGGGGAACAGTTGGGGAGGGGTTTGCAACAGTTGGGGAGGGGCTGGGGGAACAGTTGGGGAGGGGTTTGCAACAGTTGGGGAGGTTGTTGTACCAAATTTGGCTTTGTTTGGACTTTTTTTTGACCATAGGAACGCATTAATTGATTTTCAATGCATTCCTATGGGAATTCGTGATTCGCAAGACGAAAAATTCGCAAGACGAAAAAACTCGCGGAACGAATTAATTTCGTCTTGCGAGGCACCACTGTAATAGTTTTAAACCTCTTGACAAGATGCTTTACGGGGTTGGTTATTATCTAATTCCATATAGCAGAGCACAAGAAAACACTGAATAGGCATAGTAGCAATTTTTAAAAATATACTTCAAGTGAGCACAGTCCACTCTTGCCATAACTGTTTGCCACTTGGTTTATGTATAAAGAGATGCTGGTAGTTGTACCTTGGCTACTGAACGCCTTGGGAGTCGAACGTTCCAGCTCCTGAATGATCGAAAACTGGAAGTGAGTGTTCTGGTTTTCAAATGTTCTTTCAGAAGCCGAATGTCCGATGGGGCTTCCTGCAGCCAATCAGAAGCCACATTTTGGAAGTCAAACATTTTGGAATTCAAACAGACTTCCAGAGTAGATTCTGTTCTACTTCCAAGGTACAACTGTATTCCTGATGGTAGAGAGAAGGGGTGGCAGCGAGGGCAGCGGCGGCGGGGGGGTGATCTGCAAATTTCCAAAATGGAGTTTTAATCTGTAGATTCAAGCACCATCTATACCTAGGACTGAGTATGCCCAAAATCCCAATCTTGGACTTAGAGTAATTTATAGATAGGCTTTCCTGTTTACATTATGTGCTGAACATCTCAAAGAGATTTTTGAGGCCCAATCAGGAAAGGATCATTAACTCATCCACATTCATCAAGATCGAAAACTTTCTACTCCTAATTACTGGAGAGGGCGAGTTTGCATTGACTAAATATTGCACCAAATCATTAATATAAAAGTTTAAAAGAGTGGGAGCCAGAATGCAACCTTGTTTCACTCATTGCAACATTTTAAAAGTATCAGTCATACCACAATTTAAATCTACTCTGCCCCTCATGTGTTGCTGTATAATTCATGGATCAATACCAGAAGTCTGAAGTCGATGTTGGCAATTTGAAATTTCTCCCACTGTCTATTTTGATTAATAGAATCAAATGCAGCAGAAAGTTTAATAAAGGCTACATAGGGATTATAGTTATTGTTCTTGGTATATTTTCTTATAATATGGTTCAGGGTGAAACATTGATCAATGATACCATGTTCTCCTCTAAGTCCCACTTTAAAACTAGGCTGATAGTTTTTGAAGGAGATTCCAGGCACATAGCTTTGAGGAGATGTCTAACAAGGTGACTGGTGGATCATTCCGATGCACCTTCTTATAAATTTGGAAATGATACTCAATTCTCATCCAAGGAGCATCTGACCCATGCTGTTTATGGTGGTAAATAAGTCAGAATAGGCATCCAACATTTTAAGTATTCCTTATCGAGCTCAGGTGGAAGCAGATCTTCTCTAGGAGCTTCATTTGATTTCAGGTAAGAAAGAATGTAGAGTTCCAACAAAGCTAGTAGTATTTATCCAATAATGTAAATAATATTAGAACACATCCCTCTTTTCCTCCAATGGATTTATATGATTCCAAATAGTTTAGTCTCCCATCCAAGTATCTTAAGAGGATTAAATGACCTTAGCTTCAGCTGTTAAATGCAGAATGTGTAAATTCAGGAGCTGGAAAATGAAAAAAACAAGAGATCTCCTATTGTGACAACTCCTGTTTGCCTAGAAATATGCAAACTTCTCCATTAAGCTCAATCTCTTCATATAATGAATCTCCATCCTGTTCCCTATACAGAAGTTGGCGTTTCTCAAGACGTCACCTGTCAATTGTGGCAATTCTTCATTCCAAACCACTGGGACTCCATGTTTCACAGAACGGTCAAAATGCTCGTTAAAATATGAGAGCTCACTTTGTTTCAATTTGCATTAATGGCTCTGCAATTAGATAGCTGGACCTGTAAATATTTTTTATGGCTCATTACTTGCAGGTCATACATCCCACAGCACAATTTTTTGAGGTGCCTTTGGGAAGCAAATGTTTGTTATCACCTTCTAGAAACTGTGTGTTAGAAATTGGGCTAGGCCAAATGGGTGGGGACGCTGGGTTCCCATGCTGAAGATTTGAGACAGGATTAACAGGATTAATTTACACAACTGGCTTTCAGAAAATAGCCTACAGGCCCTCAGAATAGTGTTCCTGAGCTTGAAGTATCAAACTCTGCTTACATTTTGCATTTTCCTGCCCATGACATACTTCACACAACCCAACCTTACAAGGATTGGTAAATCGTGTCGGTTTCATATTTCCAGTCTTACATTCTGTTTAGAGCCCGTTTCCACATCAGTTTGCAAATGGGTGTGTCTGTGTTTTTTATGTCTCCATGGAAATTTATACCTTTTCCAGAAGCATTTCTATTTGTATGCACTTCAGCATGTGTTTCCCCTGTTATAAACCTTTTTGTGCTATGTTTTTGTTGGAGAGCTGCAATGCAAAATGCAATGCGGAAATGTGGATTTTGAAGGATAAATGAGTTTCACTTTATATATTGGTTCAGGAATTAGGCAGGCTCACAACAAAATACAGACCTATCCGGTTACCCAACCATTCCAACATGGAGCTTTGTTTATCTCTACACTAGTCGCTGTGGTAAGTGCAATGAAACCCTTTGGTTGACTCTTTGGCTTGGAACATCTTCAACTCCATCCAGGAGTTTCCCATAGAGACTCCTCAGGTCTTTCCTTTATTCCAATGTTTCTGTGTCTTGCTTAGATTCAGGATCCTATTTTAGTGGATACAATTTGAGCCCTTGTTTAAGATACATAATATTAGTGCTGAATTTCTGGAAATTAACTTATGGAACACGACTTATTTTAAGTGATTTCAATTACATCTGTTTAAGTTTTTTTTTCCATTTCCAAGGCCCAGAGATGTTTCATTTACCTACGCTTACTTTTTAACATCTTTATTTAATCTTCATTTAAATACAATTTTAAAATTATCTGATGCTCACGACATGATTGCCTAACGTGAGATAATAGCACCCATCCCACTTAGAGCAATTTATTATAATTATCCACTGAGCTGCTCCAGTATTTTTTAAAAACTTGAACAAGGGAGAATCAATCTCTTATGTTATGAACAGCTCCTTAGAAGTAAGTATTCCATCTTGCTGACATCAAAGTATTGTGCGCAGGAAGCCTGAGAGAGCATCTCTTCCACAATGAGTGTAGAAAAGAAGGAACAACGCACAGATGTTACCACAAATGGGTTACACTCCCACAAACCAAATGCTCATGCAAGACCACCTAAAACAGGGATAGTAGACATTTTTTTTTCATCCTGAGGGCAACATTGCTTTCCATACAACCACCAAGGAGCCATATGCCTGTGGTGGGTGGGGCCTGATGCAAAAGTGGGAGGAGCAACAAACACAATAGTACAGTTTCTACGCACACCCCTCTCTATCCTGCATCCAGGTAATGAAAAAGTAGTATGGACACATTCCAGCCATACATACAAACATGCAAGAAGGGCATGAAGCAAGACCAGTATGGGGTGGGGTCTGGTGAGAAGGCCTGGGGTCTGGAAAGTTCCCAAAGGGCTGGATAGAGAAGCCTGAAGTACATGGGCCTGAGATTCCCCACCCCTGACTTAGACATCCCTATCCAGAGCCTCAGAATAGCGTGAGAGCAGGGTAAGATCAGGAGTAAAGAGGGGGAAGGGAAGCTGTTTTGTTGGCTGTCACCAACTGTCACCTGTTGGCAGCCTGTCAATCAGGCTACTGAAAATCCTTTGTCGCACAAATAACCCAGAGATGCATTTTAAATAAAAGGACACATTCTATTCATGTAAAAACACGTTGATTCCCGGACCGCCCATGGGCTGGATTTAGAAGACAATTGGGCAGGATTCAGCCCCCGGGCCTTCAGCACTAGTGCCTGGCTCTTTTCCCTCTCCCTCCTCACCTATATTTCCTTGTGTGCCATGCTTTTTAGATTGCACATTTGAGGGCAGGGACTGTCTTGGTGTAGTGGTTAAGAGTGGTAGACCCGTAATCTGGTGAACCGGGTTTGCGTCTCCGCTCCTCCTCATGCAGCTGCTGGGTGACCTTGGGCCAGTCACACTTCTCTGAAGTCTCTCAGCCCTACTCACCTCACAGAGTGTTGTGGGGGAGGAAGGGAAAGGAGATTGTTAGCCGCTTTGAGGCTCCTTAAGGGAAAGGCAGAATATCAAGTCCAAACTCCTCCTCCTCCTCCTTCTTGTTTTATGGATCTGGAAGCTATGCTCCCCAACCCCTGGCTAGAGTGCATGCATAAAATGTCTACCCTTTCTTTGGTTACTTGTATATATTCATTATGTGGACTCATGTGGTCTTTCCTCCTGTGTCTTAGAATCATAGAGTTGGAAGAGACCACAAGGGCCATCGAGTCCAACCCCCACTGTGCTAGAAAACCACACACCTCACACTTGGGTTCATCTCCACCGCAGCTTTATACAAATCAAAAGTAATGGGAGGCTCCCTTCCGATGTCTGCCCTGTAGTTCCCACACTATCCTCCTATTCCTTGCCTGATTCACCCATTTACAGTAAAAATGTAAAGTCCTCGTTAAAATCTCAGATGGAAAGTAACTCAGTCTCTTCTGTCAGTTGCATCTACATTGGTAAAGAGATATATGATATATATTTACGTAACCCAAGCCCTAAGAGTATAGAGAGTGAAGAACACACTACATTTCTATAGCAACTTACACGAGAGATGGAAAGCTATAAGCTTGAGTTTCAGGAAATGACCACAAGAGGGCATGACAGTGATACAGAAAGAAGAGAAAAGTATTTTAATCTAACCTTTTCCAAGTCGGGCTTCGGTTCTCCTTCAGGAGATCTTTCCCAGAACATTCCCTTTGACATTCTTTTTGAAAGCCATTTATGAACGGTGTTATTTGGCCGCCAACACTTGCCTGTCTCTTAAAGTCATCTCTCGTGTTCCTGAAGCATCTGAAAGTTGTGAGCTTTTAACACATTCTCTCTAAACAGTATTGCTCTTAACTGGTTTGCATAGTGGCGAGAAGCAACAGCAACACCATCAATGCTCACAATTATACAGCTAGGGGTAGAATTCGGGTTCCTGCTCCACAGTAAGTCACCAGATGACTCCACCTTAAAGAGTGAAATATGATAGGGGCAGTTGCAAACAAGCCTAGCATCTGGGCTGGTACAGAATGTGGTGGTTAGCTTGTTTCTGAGGACAAATTACAACCTGCATAAAGCACTTTGCTTGTGAGATTTGCACTGGCTGCCAGTTTACTAGTGGGCAAAGTTGTTATGAGTATGTAAATCTCTATATAGTTTGGGATCAGGTTACCTAAGAGATCAGCTTATCCCTTATATACCAAAGAGATCACTGTGGTCTGCAGCCAACTCTCTGCCACAAGTTCTCAGAAATCTGCTCCACAGTAACTCAGAGAAAGGCTTTTAGTGCGGCTGCCACTGTTCTGTGGAATAGTGTTCGTCTTGAGCTACGACAGGTGCCTACCTTCTGCACTTTCTGGAAACTGGTGAAAATCCCCCCCCCCCCCAGGCGACTTTCCCTGCTTGGTAAATGAATGCCTACAAATAGTGTTGGGTTTTTAATCCTATTTGTTGTTTTTCTGTTTAACTATTTTTAATTAATTAGCGTGTTAATTGCCTTTAGATGGTGGTTCAGAAGGCGATTAATAAATTATTATTAATAAGTGAAAAGAACAGGGTAGGTCTTACAAAATATATAGACTAGCATGTTGCATATTGTTCCAGAAAGGGCAAAATAGGTGGTTGCTGTTGGCATCCATCTGTCTGAAAAGACAGTGTGCCTCTGGGGAAGAAATCAAACCTCTAGAGAATTACACCAACTGTTGTGGCTGCAGAGACCAGTTCCTTGTAACTGCTGCCTCTTGGCAGTTTTTGTTGCACTAGCAGCACTGAAGTGACCTCTCTGGGGAGCAAGCCTGGGCGGTGTGTATGGAGGTCCTAGGCTGCCCAGACAACAAGACCCTCCTCTTGGCCTTGGTGAAAGGAAAGGAAAGCATCTCAACCACCTTAGGGATTCTTAGTCCTTTTTCCTCTACAAAGCAGCAGGTATGGGTTTTTTTCCTTGGAGGTTACTCCTGAAGCCTTTCTCATGAATGAGTTTAGCCACAAAGCAATGGAGGTTTAGGACCAGAGTTTTCTTCTTCTAGATGGGCTTCCTTCCCAGGTTGACAAGCCCTTCATTTCTCTCAAATCATGTGCAGAAACCACCTCCTTGGCTGTTGGACCCACTATTGGGCTCAAAACACCAGAGCCCATATTCACATGCAGCGGAAGTCCCTAATTCACCTGACCAGTCAAAGCTGTTCCTGGGATTGTGGCTGCTGTTGCATGCTGACAGTTTCTAGGAGCCACAGGTGAGAGCTGAGTGCAGGGTGGGGAGCAAAGGTAGACATACTACCCCAGAAGAAGCAAGGCAACCCAAAAGTAGCATGATGTGTCTCCCACAAGAGGTACTAAAGGTAAAGGTAAAGGGACCCCTAACCACAAGAGGTACTACCCTACCTGCAACTCCCAACACACCCTGCAGACTAGATAGGTTCACATGAAGGACCTAATCAAATTGGATTTCTCCTGCAGCCCTACTTCTGGCTAAATTCCTGCAAAACAAATCTGATGAGGTTTTAGAGGGACATTTTAATTTGTGGCTGCTGTATTTCTGTTGTGGTCATAAAAGCATCTGCTCCAGACAACCTTGACACTTTATAAATCAATTCATCATAAAATAAGCCGTGGGTTGTAGCAAAATGTACTGTTCTCTTCCTGAATATAATTCCTGTTAAACCACAGGATAGAGCTCTTAAGTTCGAGAACATTGATCTAAATTCTTGCTCACATTGTTCTGAAATGGTCTACACATTAAAAAAAAGAAGAAGATACACAGAATAATAGTAACAATAATATCTGTAACTACCAGTTCAGTGTCCTGCAGGTGGTCTATTGCATTAAAATCTTCATGTTACAGAGAGATGGAGAGAGAGAGAGAGAAGGAGGGAGGGAGGGAGGGAGGGAGGGAGGGAGCAGCTCCTCTGCTTAGGTAAAGACAGGACTACAATCTTTTCTAATGACTTTCCCTTGTGTGGGGGGTAGGCAGGGCCAGATTTAGGTTTGATGAGGCCCTAAGCTACTGAAGGAACTGGGGCCCTTTATATGTCCAGCTGTCCTTTGTCAACAACAAATTGTCACTGTTTTTTGTTGTTGAATATATGCTATATGGTAATTTATGGAGCTAATAGGTATCTAAAGCTATTTGGTGTATGTAGGTTTTATTTTATTTGTTTTTTTATCTTATATTTTGGAAATGTACATCCAGGTTTTTTCCCCCTTTAATTTTTTTTGGGGGCCCCAAGAGAGTGGGGCCCTAAGCTATAGCTTGTTTACCTTATACATAAATCAGGCACTAGGGGTGTGCTGAGGATTTGTAGTAGCAAGACGAGAGGTTAGTAAGAACATAGGACAAATCTGAATATGATTAAACAATGCTCAGTGCACCTTAGCAATGAAGTGACAATCAACAATACCCGCTTACCCTGCTCGGGGGTGAGTGACAGCAGAGGTGTAGCAAGGCCAGGCAGTACCAGTGCGGAATTTTTTTGTCACCCCCCCCCATAAACAGCTCGGGGTAGGCTTGGGAGTCACGGGCGTGTGCCAAATGTCCGCCCCCCTTCCTATGCTTCTGTGCCCCCACCCCCGCAACTCCCAAGTACCCCAAGCCGTCGGGGGAAGGGGGGAGCTATGCCGCTTTGCCGGGGTGCTGGCAAAGCTGCATCCTCTTGGGAGTCACAGCTCCTGTCCATCCGTCCCCCTCCCTCCCTCCCCGGCTTGCTGTAAAGCGGCAAAGCAGGAGCTGCTTATGGCGAGCCGGGGAGGGAGGGAGGCTAGGAGGGGGGTCCCTGGATCGCCGTAAGTGGCTTCTGCTGGCGGCAGAGGGAACCCACTGCCATCCACACAGTGCTCCAGCTGTGCTGGTGGCAAACCGCTATTTACAGTGCATGTGCGGCATCACTATGCACAGCACATGCGCGCAACACCGCGCATGCATTGTATGTAGTGGTTTGCCACCACCACCGCCCGAGAGCCATACAGATGGTGGCAGGATTCTCTGCTTGCGGCTGCAGTGGTAGCGGAGGGATCCTCCACTTGCGGCTGTAGCAGTTACAGAGGCATCCTATCGCCATCTGCATGGTGCTCGGGCAGCGCTGGAGGCAAACCGCTATGTACAGTGCATGTGCAGCGTTGCTACGTACAGCGCATGCATGCGACGCCATGCATGTGTTGTATGTAGCAGTTTGCCGCTGGCGCTGCTCAAACACCATACAGACGGTGGTGGGATCCTCTGCTCGCGGCTGCAGCCGCAAACGGAGGATCCTTCACATGCGGCTGTGGCAGCGTGATGGCTGCTCGCACCGCCACGCCCGGGCCGAGTACGCAGGGTGAGCACCCCACAGGTGCCTTCTTGTCACCATCCAGTGCACCACCCCTCGTCCCCACCTTGCGACACCACTGAGAGGCAGTTGTGGCTTGTTGCAGGTTCCCCCTCTGTTCCTGGGGGGCAAAAGTTGTATTTCCAATATCCAACCCTAAAATTATGAGCTGTAATCATGGGCAAGCAGCAGGGTGGAGCCTGGGTCTTCGTTCCAATTTGACACCTAATAATAAAAGCCAGCTGCATCTGGGTTGCCCAGTCAGCCAAAGAGCAACCATCCCTCCTTCTCTCCATGCTGCTGCTGTTTAACTTGTATCATAACTTTGCTTTGCTTTCATGTGTACCCAGTATATTGACCTTGCAATTGTTTTACAATGCTTTCCATGTTCAGAACCAGGAAAGAATTTGCCTACAGACAAATTGGGCCCATTTGGGGGTTCTGCCTTAATAGCAAATGTCACAACTTTGGGTGGATAAGGTATTGGCTGGAATTCTAGTCCATTGAAGGGTTGGGGTGAAGTGGTGGATCAGCCTATAGCAGGTGCAATCTCAGAGTACATCATTAGAGCGGTCTAAGTGGAAGGCCCTGTCCAGAAACCAAGTGTGGGGCAGAGTCACAGAACTCCCAGAAGCATTTGGCAGTGGACCTGTGTCTTGACATGGTCCATATCCCAGGCATGACCCTGCTTAATCTTCAGCCCTCCATTAGGAGGCTGAAATGCATATACATCCAATGCCTGAGCTAAAGCCTACCTACATCTGTAATCAATAAAGTTGTAGCCAATTTAATCCCCGATCATCGTCTTGTCAAGTTTGCTCCATCACACTATTACTATTGCCCACTGATGTAGAAGAGGGGGTGCTGCGATTGGGTCCACACCATAGATTCAGGATGCCAACTGCATATTTTAATATTTCCAATACCATTTGCATTATGACTAGTCATTTGTTTGCTTGCTTTTGCTTCTTATATTCCACCTTCTCCTCCAACGACCTCAAGGAGCTGTGCATGGCTCTTCCATTCTCCACAATGTCCAACAACCCTGTGAGGTAGCTTAGGCTGAGTGATGGTGCCCGGACCAAGGTCACCCAGTGAGTTTCATGGCTAAGCAGGGATTTGAACCTTGGTCTCTCAGCTCCTAACCCAACACTCTAACCACTATGTCACACTGGCTCTCAGACTAGAGCTCACATCCACTTGGCTGTTTTCATCTCACAGGTTCATAGGAAGGTGACTTATACTCAATTAGACCATTGATCCATCTAACACCAGCTGTCTTCAACCTTTCAGACCCAAATACCCAGCGTTAACCCAAACATGCATTTCAGGATCCATTTATTTTCTCTCTTTTTTGGTCACACATTCATATGGTGGTACTGCTGTTGTTACACACCTTAGAACAGGCTGCATCCCATGATTGGGTCCCAACACAATGACTGAAAACCAGTGCTTTGAACTGACTGGCAGCATGCCTCCATAGTTTCAAACAGGGGTCTTTCTCAGTGCTACTGGAGAAACTATGGATGCAACCTAGGACCTTCTGTGTGCAAATAATGTGGTCTGCACTGATTTTTGCCAGGTACAAATCCAAAGCACATTTTACTTCTTGGCAGGGTTGACATCTAAAAGAAAAGTGTTCTTGGGCATCTGCTTACTGTTTCAGTTACCACCTGACCCACTACTGCTATTCTTTCCTGTCCTTGTTGCTCACTCATTTGCCACTCACATAGATGGGCAGGGAAAAGCAGCCATTGCTGTTTACTCACCACAAACAGACAGCTCTATTCACCTCTGCTTTAAACTCCCTTGCTTACCCATCAGCTCTCTTGGCAAGCAAGCAAGCAAGATGGAGGAGCCACTGCAGGGAGGCCAATGGATCTCCCAACACCAGGCCGGGGGGGGGGGGGGAAAGGCAAGTCAGTGGTGAGGTGTTTCCATCTCCTTGCCTCCTTTCCTTCCAGCACAGCAACCAGCAGGCTAATGTTGCAGCTGTGCTACACCAGATGAACCTCTAAGTTCTGCTTCATGATATTGTCCCGTTTTCTGAAACCGTTTCCTCTTTACTGGATGCTAGAATTGGTTAAACAAAACAAAACAAAACAAAAAACAAAACAAAACAAAACAAAACAAAACCGACATTGCTTTAAAAGCATGTTGCTTCCAGCTGGCTAATCACCCTAAAATTGAATGCATTCAGCTTGGGGCATTACACAGTTCAGTTTTATTCCCCACCCACCCCACATTTCTGTAGTTAAGATGCTTAAAATATATGACGAGGATAACTGCTTTTATAAAATTAATGACTGCCTGGATGATGAATTTAGTCTACTCGTAAAACAACAGAGCGCTTTCAATCCAATCCCAGTTATGCTGTTTGATGATTGTTTTGGCCTTTAAAGGAACTGTATGGAACTTTTTAAGTATCTGTTACAACTGCACTGCTCCCCATACAACTTCAAGGCTTTTCCTTCTGATGCTCTTACTTTGGGATGTTTCAGAACTGACTGCAAATGTTGCTGTACTTATAAATCCAGCCAAGCATTTAGCCAACCCATCCACCTATGCAGAGCAGTTTCATAGCCACAAATCTATGGTGGACTAGCATACCCCCAGTGATGCCCACAATTTGCAATTTACATTATAAAGTCCAGCCATTTCTGGTCTCCCCCACCCCAACTCAGCTTGTGCAGCAGGAACATTATGGGTTTCATTGGAGGAGGAGGGGGACTATGAAAAGGACTGTCATACTAATTTGAGTCCATCAGACGTATTCCCTCATTAAGAACTCTTCCCTTAAACCATTAAACTTTCCAGGAATCAAACATTTGGGAATGTCCTTAGTCAAGAAGAAACACAAGGCCTTTGTTTCATCTGTATGACACTGACCACCCCCTTTAGGGTGAATGGTATTAACACTTAGTCATATATGTATATAGGTAGGTACACAAAAGGACCCCTGGATGGTTAAGGCCAGTCAAAGGCAACTATGGGGTGTGGCAGTCATCTTAGTTTTCAGGCCGAGGGAGCCAGTGTTTGTCCACAGACAGCTTTCCAGGTCATGTTGCCAGCAGGACTAAACTGCTTCTGGCACAATGGGACACCATGACGGATTTTCTGTCTGAATATGAGAATCCTATTGACTAGATGGCTTTTAGGGGTTTTTTTGGGGGGGGGTTGGCTTGGTTTGCAGTTGAAGGTAGGGACGAGGGAGAAATTTGATTCAGTTCTCATTAAAAGGTGAGCCTACCCAATCTGCACTTCCTGAAACAATATGTGAACCACAACATGCATCATCTGAAATTTGCACTTGTCTGAATTTTGCAATGCAGTTCTGCAGCCAAGTAATGTGCACAAAAGTGCCTATACTAGCATAAAGTGTGCATAAAATTGCATAAATTAGTGAAAATAACATTGTAACATTGGTGAAAATAACATAGTATTGGTAAGCATTTGCCTTGCATAAATGGATATGCGTATGATAACATCAATTAAAACCTATTGGTAAAAAATAAATAAGTCACATTTTGAATTTCTGTCTGAACAGTATTTTTCAAAAAACAATGCATAGAAGACAGGAATGACGTCTGTCAGACTTCTATTGGCAAGGAGTTCCACAGGACAAGCCCTGCTGCCCTAAAGGCTCTGACCCTGATAAAGACCAATGGAATTTTAGGAATGTGGAAGACCATTACAAGTGTCATAGTATAATATATTGGTGACTGAGGTGGAACATAAGGAATCAGGTGGTCCTTAAAGTACTCGGACCAAATTATTAAGCATTTGCAGATTAATATAAAAGCTTTGGACAAAGGCTTTGAGCAAATATATACATATATGGGAAGTTCTGTTTCACAAGAGGAAGTCCTTGCGCTGATGGAACATCTTTGTTGGATGGGAAGTGTTTGAAACTTCCCATCAGACATTTTTGCTTAAACATTGCAAATAAAATATTATCCCATTGATTCTGTGAGCGCTACACATGTTATAAATGTGTGCCAGGGGAGAGTTAACTAGGCTAAAGTGTTTTTGTTGCAAGGAACCGATGAAAGACAAAGAGTTAACTCAGAACATTTCCAAGCCACTGCAAAAGTCTCTATTTAACAGTGCAAAGGATGAGCTATGAGATCTAATAAATAAAGACACATTTTGTTGGTCAAGAGAAACTTTGACTAAGCTGAAGGAGGGCTTGGGGACTCTGAACATGATCAGAGTAAATAATGTTGGATACTTTGGGTGCATTTGTAGCAGCAAATCCAATTAAAAATTTGACTTCAAAAGGAAGTTTGGATTCTCAGATAGATGCCTGAGTGGAATTGAAATGTGGACTTTGTGGATTATTTGTTCCTGAGAGAGGCTTGCCACTATAATAGCTCTTAGTAAATATTTATTTTTATTTATTAAAGCTGGTGGGTTTCATGTCATTTGCACTGCAAACATATGGAGATATACATGTTCAAACAACACATGTATTCAAACAAGTGGTTGTTAAAGGAACAACTTGCTCAGGAGGGGGTTTTTTTAATGGAAAATGGCCAAAATAAAGAACTGATACATGGACTTCATATTTACCACACTTACTTAGGAGTAAATCTCACTGAATTCATTGAGATTTACATCTTAGAAGACATTCATAGGTTTGTGTTGGTCTACTAGGAATTTATGTAATGTGCAAATAATGAACATTTACTCAGGAGTAAGGACTCTGTGATCAGTGGGGCTTACACCCTAGTAAGTGGGTAGGTATAGAGTGGCAGCCTACATGTGAAGTCCAAAATATGTTTGCTCAGAAATAAGCCTCACTGAGTGACATACACCCAAGTAAATATATGTAGGGTTGCAACCTAAGTCTGTAACTCCCTGCACACTTATCTAAACTGCATTGAAATTATGGGACTTAATTCTGGCTATACATCCATAGGATTGCTCTGCCTGCTTTGGAATATCGGAGGTTGTTTGATAAGAGGCAACCTGGTAAATTATTAATATCTTATATGGTGGTGGTGAGCATCTCAATCTAGGAAAGGGGATGGATACAAGAGAAGGGGACACTCTGTTGTGGCCATATCTCCCTTTCCCAGGTAGCCCAGGACCCAACATGGCAGGAACGTGGCTGCCACATATCATATTATGCTGGCATTGGATCAAGTAACATCTCTGTTTAAATATCAACACTTCAATCAATTTTTTTATTTTAATGCTTCCAACCTACTTAGGAAATGGATTGAATTTATTATGCTGGAAGGGGGAGAAATCGGGGGGAGTACCAGTGATTGAGATTTGGGGTTGCCTAGCAGACTAGATTTGACTGGGTCAGATGAACCAATAGTCTGGGGTCAGTGTCAGGCAGTTTCATCTCTTTGTCTGTGAATTTGATTATCAGATTGGTGCCTCTTTATCTGAACACCCTCATACAATCATAGAGTTGTAGAGTTGGAAGGGACCCTGAGGGCCATCTAGCCCAACCCCATGTAATGCAGGAATCTTAGCTAAAAGCACCCATGGCCATCCAACCTTTGCTTCAAAATTCCAAGGAAGGAGAGTCCACCACCACTGTCGAACAGTTCTTCCTGATGTTTAGTTGGAATCACATTTCTTGTAACTTGAAGCCATTGGTTTGAGCAGGAGGAAACCAGCTTACTCTGTCTTCCATGTGATAGTTCTTTAGATATGGGAAGCTGGCCATCATATCTCCTCTCAGTCTCCTCTTCTCCAGGCTAAACATAACCAACTCCCTCCCTCAACCCTTAATTAAAAGACTTGGTTTCCAGATCCTTGATCATCTTGTTCACCCTCCTCTACACATGTTCCAGTTTATCAATATCCTTCTTCAATTGTGATGCCTAGAACTGGACATAGTACTCCAGGTGTGGTCTGACCAAGGCAGAATATAGTGGGATGCATTCATCCTGAACAGAACACACGAGGGCTGCTTTCATCATCATCATCATCATCCATTAAATCTGAATGTTTTATAAACTACCCCTTTATCCCACTATGAATAATGATGCAATCTTAAAATAAACAACAATAATAAAAACAAATAGGAATGTGGAGGGGTGTACCCAGTTCACACTTTCCAAACCAATGCACTACAACTATTCTTTGACAATTGCATTCATCTGAGTTTTGTGGTGAATCTCATGAACCAAAATGTATGTACAAAAATCTG